CCCAAGGATTGATTTGTACCAAGTCAGTGGAACCTTTACTGTTATGCCCCCCCTTGGGGATACGTGGTGCAGAATGAAGCTTCAGAGGTAGGTGAGGAGGGACCTGATTGCCGACTTGGTTTCTCCTTCAAGCCGTTGAGGGCAGTGCTTCCCTGTACAGGGCTCAGAGTAGTGGTATCCAGAGGATGCCGGCTCCCCTTGTCGTGTATGCTTTTTATCAGGTCATCGGTCATGGTGGGCAGCGAATGGAGAGCGAGAGCAATTCCAGCTGTCAGGGAGTCACTGCCAACCCGTCTAGGCATTTCCATTTAGGGAGCTCTGTAACAGTGTCCTGACGACATCACCAGAGGGAACCGAGCACCTGGGATGTTTTATCGTGGGCATATTTTTGCAGTGATTGTGCTGGACTATACAGATTGGGTGGACAGTTGGTTCTCTCCTTGGGTTTTATGATGAATCAGATGCTAACTAGTGTCACGAGGGCAGATGCTCATGGTAAAAAATTTATGGGATTGCGCCAGCGTTTCTCAGCTTCACACATTTTGTTTCTCAACTTCTGACATTTTTGGCTGGATGGTTCTTTGTTATGGGAGCTGCCCTGGGCATTATCGGATGTTTGTCAGCATCCCAGGCCTCTACCCACTAGATGCCAGCGAACACCCTCCCATTGCTGAATGAACCCTGGAGAGCAAAATTGCCCTTGATTGAGAACCACTGGATGTTATTACCGTGGAATCTGATAATATCCACGTATGTCGGTAGTAGTTGGGACAATCTGATCCATTATACAAATATTATTTTTCTCATAACTCTCAGGAAGCCCTTTAATATATAAAGTATAGCCAACAGATAATACTTCTGTATCTGACTGAGTTATTGATTCAATAGATATTAAACATCAAGTGTGTATCATGCACTGGGGATCCAGCAAAGCAAAAGGCGGAGGCCGGGCCATGTTGTCTTCCTGACCTGCAGCATGGCACTGCTCTCACGGAGCTTGCATCTGAGGCGACCAAACAGATAGAATGCCAGACATGAAGAAGTGCCTTGAAGAAAATAAAGGACTTGGAAGGTCTACATGAGATTAGATATTCAAGGAAGCCCTCTTTGAAGAGGTGACATTTGAGCTGAGATCCAAATGACAAGAAGGATTGAGGTGGCTGAAAAGCTGGGAGACAGGTGCTTCAGGCTAAGTTGCAGCGAGTGCCAAGGCCCCCAGGGCAGGAGTTCCAGGAGTGGGCAGCCCAGCAGGGGTGAAGCAGAGGGAGGAGGGGTAGGATGGATTCCAGGTGGTCCCGGGCCGAGGGATGGGGGCTGGGTTATACACCAAGGGCAGGGAAGAGCCCTTAGAGGGTTTGTGGTAGTAGATTGATATGATTGGGTTTTTGTCTTCAGAAGGTCACTTTGACTGCTGTGCAGAGGAAAGACAGAGCACAGGGGGCATCAGGAAACTGGATCAGGTAATCAGGGCAGGATGATGGAACAGAGCTGATGGGGCACAGGCGTCAGTAGTGGAGGTGGTGGGGGAGTAGATGAATTCTGGATGGATGTGTGAGGGCAAAAAAGTCCTCCAAACAAACAACAAGAAACCCCTCACATTTCTACAGCACTTCTATAAACTGCCTATTACTTTCACTGGTGTGATCCCATCAGCAAGTCTGAGAACCAGTTCTGTTGGGTTAGGATCCAGACTCTCTGAAGGGAAGGGACCAGCAGCCCCAGGCACAGAGGCTTATCTCAGTCCTCACGCTGTGTCCACGGTCAGACTTCAGTAAACAAGATGAAATAGCGTGCAAGGAAGAGAGGGCAAGGCAGAGCCACTTGTGTTTAGTTGACCTTTCAAGTGCTTGTCCTTGAATAGCTGGTTGAGGAATATCTGTCAGGCCAATGAAAGAATGAATGAATAAAAGATAGAGCGGGTTGAAGGGGAATAATCATTCAGGGTGCTGGGGACATCACTCCAGGTCATGGTAACCCGGAGAGAGCACTGTGTTATTCCCAGAATCAGGATGCAGAGGCTGAGGCTGAGAGGGGCGAGGGAATTTGTCCAAGGAAACTCACATGCCAACCTGGATTTCTCCTATGTAGTCAGATTCTGAAGCCGGCCCTCAGTGGCTATGTTACCTCAGAAGAGAAACAAGGTCTCAGAGGGGGAGAGAGAAGGAGGTGCAAAGATGAGCTCCGTGACTTATTGGGTTGGACCTCTCTGCACCCAACTCAACCCCTTCTGTGAAGCTGCCGGCCACTGTCGTCTTGCTCACACCACCCCAATCTCCCAGAAGTGTCCAGGTCAAGAGACAGGGATTTCTCTGGAAAGGGCCACTCATCATTCTGCTGCCCTAAGGGGCCTTCGCTGATATCACAAGGAGGAGGACCCTTGGAGACAAACCTGAGAAAGTGTAGTTGGAACCACATCCAAGGAAACCTTAAACTCCAGGTTACAGAGTGTGAACTTTATGCCAAAGATACTGGGCAACCATTGAAGGGTGTGGACAGGATAGAAACGTGCTTTGCTTCAGGCAGGTTGGCCGTGGCTGTGGTGCAGGGAACAGACTAGACGGGCTGGAGTGAGAGGCGGGGATTGCCATGACCTAGGTGAGGGGTCAGGAGTCTGAATCCTCACAGTGAGAAGGAAAAGAACCGGCCAGGAGAGGCACTTTGTGGATTGTTTTAAAAATTTCTATTCACTTTTCATTATGAAAAATTTATGAACCCCTATGTGCCCATTCCCCAGTTCCAACAGTGATTAATTCCTGGCCAATGTCATTTAATCTCTGTCCCATTCACTTACTACTTCCATAGTATTTTGAAGCAAATTGAAGATAGACCATTCCGTTGTTACCATAGTGTGCAGGGAGAGCTGTGTGCCGTTTTGGAGATGGAATTGACAGGCCTTGCCTGGTGTGGTGGTTCTGTGTGCCTGTCACAGGCTGTTATGTGGAAGGCCGCCTCCTTTTCCCAGAACAATGCCCAGTATAGGGTGATCATTAGTGTGAAGGACTGACTTCTGTGGCACAAAAGAGCCCTCTTCCTTCTTTTTATTATAATTTATAGTAAACTTAATTTTCATTGGTATTACATGTTTCATTTAACGTAACTTCACAGTAGGTCTGTGCTCTAAGATAAGCAGAAGAACAGATATCCTAAATCTCCTAAGAGATTTTTTTCATTCCGTTCCCCTGCATAGGGCATGAGGTTTCAGGGTACCCAATGTTGACCTAAAAGTTTACCCATTGAAATATTACTTACAGATACAGACGGAAGAGATAAAAACATCAATATATAGGAATCAATGTGTATGAATGTATTGTTAAGCTCGCGTGTTGAACATTTGCCATCTGTGTAACACTAATCACTGAGATTTTGTCCCCCATTAAGTTCAGTGTCTTTTTTTTTTTTAAGTATACAGAAATGGTACACTTTTCTCTCTTAAGACACTGAAAATAGTACAGGTTTAGAGATTTTTAATTCTTCATGAGTCCAAGCTAGGACATGATCACTATTGATGAGGTCTGTTCAACATACTAATTCCAACTTTGGCACCATCAGTAAACTGGCACCTGCAGTGAAGCCTGCAGGCATAAATTTTCCAGAGTGGTTGAATCTCATTCCCATAATGCCAGCCAGGGTCCCAGATGTAGCTAGGAAAACCCAAATAATCCTTGGATCCTGAGATAGCTGATAAGCACCCAGGCCTGCTAACCCGGGAAGAGAAGCCCAGCAGACAGTACCCGGTACACCCACACTACCTGCTTTTGTGTAACCAGTGATCCCACCAGAAGCAACCCATGCTGAGTAGCCAAAGCCAAACCAACGTAAAAGCACTAGAGGGCCAGTGTCCTAATGCATTGTTCTCCTGTCCAGATGGGAGACTACACCTAATGGGAGACCTGAACTGTGTTCCCAAAGGTCTGCACTGGCCACCAAGGACACACAAGCCACGGGGGTGTCCGGGGGGGGGGGGAGAGCCCTGTTTTTTTCTTCATAGACCCTTTGGGCAGTTTTTCTGGTATGTTGCCAAATAAAATACAGGATACCCAGCTAAATAGGAATTTCACATTAATAATAAATATACCTTTAGCATAAGTATATCCTCAATACTGTGTGGGATATACTTACACTAATACATGATTTGATGTTTATCCGAAATTCAAATTTAATCAGGCATCCTGTTTTTGTTTTTGTTTTGGCCAAACCTAGCCATCCTGCTCTTTGGTCTTTTCCTGGAAGCCCTGGGCACCAAAGCCCTTGACCAAGGTAGGGCTTCTGAAAAGGTGGCCCCAGAGCCAGCAGCACCAGCAACTCTTAGTTCAAAACATAAAATCTGGGCTCCACCCGGAATCCCAGAGCCAGAACCTCCAGGGTACCAACATTCTGTGTTTGATATCCCTTCCCTTGTGATTCAGGTGGCAGCTGTGTCTCAAGGGCCCCTGACCTCGCAGTGGTTTTCAGCCTTCCTAATGCCTCCTAATGCTGCGACCCTTTAATACAGTTCCTCATGTTGTGGTGACCCTCAACCACAAAATTATTTTCGTTGCTACTTCATAACCGTAATTTTGCTACTATTCTGAATGGTAATGTAAATATCTGATATGCAGGATGTATTTTCATTGTTACAAAGGGGTCGCGACCCACAGGTTGAGAACTGCTGAAAGCTGATGGTGGTATTACCCCACCCCTACCCCCCAACAAAACAAAACAAAAACAATATCCTGCTCTGGATGTTCACCCATTGTCAGTGCACCAGGCTGCCAAAGGTGCAGAAACGTAAGCAACGTCAGGGAAGTTCCAAAGCGCTCTTTCCTTGGGTGTCTGTGGCTTCCCCAGGACTGCAGAGGGGCGTGCCTGCGGACTGCTCAGCGTTTAGCCATCCGCCTTCTGTTCTGCCCGCCCGGACCTGTTCCTGAGGCTACAGTGATGCTGGGAACCAGAGAATTTATTCTCGGGGCGGGATTTATCGGTTGCAGCCGTGTGGGGCGGGGCCCGGAGGCCGGAGGGACACGTGTGCGGGAGGGAAGCAGGAAGTGACTGCGGGAGAGGAGCCGGAGCGCGAGCTGCAGCGGGGCTGATGGAAGTGCAGTGGGGGCTGGAGAGGGCACTCTAGTGAGTCGGCTTTTCTCTCCTTCAGCGCTTTTGGTTGGGCCCAAGACCTGGGGTCGGGGACCACCAAGACAAGCGTGTGGCTCCTGAAAGGTGATGCCCCTGGAGAGAGGAGGGGGTTGGTGGAGAAGTTGGAGGCTTTGGCAGGTGACAGGGGGTGAGGAGGGTGCCCGGAGCCCCCTCTGCCCCTGTCCAGGGTGAGCTGGCGGCCAATGACATGCGTTCCTTTTACAGTCCTGGCCACGATCCTCTTCATTCATCACTTTATGGTGGGATTTTGGGGGACTCAGGTTCCTGGGGGCAGAGGTGACTACACTTAAGTTGTCAGAGGCCCCTGCCACTGGCTGTGGGTGTTAGCAGGACCTTTTGAACTTGGCTGGGAGTCTGGTTAACCTGCAGGAGGTCTGGGTGGGACCTGAGATTATGTATTTCTAATCGATTCCCAGGTCAGCTGGTGTGCAGACCACACTTGGAGTAGGGAGATAGAAGGGAACTTTTCCACTGTCGTATCTGCTGGACCCGAGTCTTCTGCTGGATTCCTCTAGTGGAGTCAGGGCGTGTGTTTGTGTGTAGTTCCACGAAGGCCCAGGCAGCCCTAGTGCTGTTACTACTCTTGAAAGGAGTGCAACAGGTTTAAAAGGGGAAGAAAAAGAAAACCAAACAATTCTAACAGCCGGCTGGGAAAGCCCTATGTGCACAAGTGAAAGTAGTGTTGGCCCCTGTAGAGTTGGAGTGGGCAGAGAATGATCCTTTTTCCTGCTGGCTAATCAAGGTTGAAGGTATTAATGGCCAACTCAGGAGGAAGCCGGAATCCCATTGTGTGAACTACTTTGGAGGTGCTGTTCCTAGCAGTTGGAGAAAACTTTTTGTTCTCTTGGAAACTTTTGTCAGCCTTGCCAATCCCCCGTAGGGCAGGAGAGCTCACTCTCAAGGCTCTAGTAGAAGTTGTACGGCTTTAGACCAGTGCTTTCCACACTTTGATGTGCATAAAAATCCCCCATGGAATCCCATAAAATGCACATTCTGATTCAGCAAGTCTGAGGATAGATGGTGGGTAAGATTCTCCAGAGCTCTCAGAGGACACACCCCCCACCCCCGCCCCCGTGCTGCTGGTTCTCAGACCGCCCTTTGAGTAGTGAGGATTTAAGACAGCAAATGGAAGAAACTTCTCCAAAGGGTGCTGGGTTTGTACTGCCCACAATAAATAATCCTCCTGTTGGGACTGAAAGGATGGTGGCCTTGGTCTTCCCTCTGAGTCCCTTTTGGTTACTTCTCAGGGTGCTCAGGTGTGAAGGGGGATAGGCTTAAAAGAGTTTTCATGTCCTACTAACCACCAGGAACACCCAAGAGCTCCTTTTTATTCACCAGCCCACAAAACCCTCTTTGACGTTGGCCTGTTGGCAAATGTAAATTGTTTGCTTTCTTCTGTAGCTGTCAAAAGGCACATTCAAATACAGAAACAAAAAAAGAAAAAGGAGAAAGTGTTTTGTTATGACCCCCATCTTGGATGATAAGTACTGAGAATGATAACTGTCTTTCATCGTAAGTGCAGTTCGAAATTTTATCCACAAGTAGCTAGAAATAGATGATTGGTGTAATGATGCAGATGTTTTGGTTAAAAAAACAAAAACCACTCTTATAAGGTGGCTTAACAAGAGGACGGAGGTAAAGGGTGGAGTTTTAGAAATGATTTCTTTTTTTTGCTTTAACTGGTGCCATCACCATCCTGAATTCTGTTTAGACTGCGGGGACCACAGTCTGAATCCGAAGATACTCTTTATCTCAGAGCACAGGGGCTGAGCCAGAGCTTATCTGGTCTCACTTGGGTTTACCAGGGACCATAGCCTTTCCTAGGTCTGAACTTGACTATGTCGCTGAGCCCCTTGGCATAAGGGGCCTGTCCTCCCCCAGCCATGGTCTCTTGGTGTTTCTTCCAGAAACAATAGAAGCAGCGTCTTCAGCTCTGGATCTGGAGTCCCAGGGTTGCTGGCTTGTCACAGGGCACCGGAGCCTGGCAGGGCTGAACCCAGTGTGGTCGCGTCCAGCTCTGTGGGTGCCGGAAGACCAATGGGGAACTGAATGCAGCCTTTGAGATGGCTCTGAGCTCTGGTGTTTGTGTTCCAGAACACAGGGCTTTTCAACACACAGGTTTCTCTGCCTTGTAACTTTCCACAGGGAGAGGTCTTCATTTCAGATCTAAAATCTTCAATGAGTTAAGGCCTGGAGGAGGTTCTTTGAGCCAAAACAAGAAGGAATGGTTCTTCTCTTTCTCTTCTTGGTGGGCAGTGGTGTAACCTTAGCTTCAGCTCAGGGTGCTGGGCTGACCAGGGGGAATTCCACACATGGGTTTGTTTCCTTTTTCTTGCTGACTGTCCTGTCCAGGTAAGCTGGCCTTTTTTCAAACCAGCAAATACTCTTCAGGGGCCACAGAGTCCTATTTGACCAGGGTGCCAAGATGTGGAAAGCATCAAGCAGCTAAGGCAGGGGTCTTCAGACTTTTTGAACAGGGGGCCAGTTCACTGTCCCTCAGACCGTTGGAGGGCCGGGCTGCGGGCCCCAGGACAAGTTGGCTGCTAAGCAGGACAGGCAGTGG